TGTGTGTGTGTGTGTGTGTGTGTGTGTGTGTGTGTGTGTGTGTGTGTGTGTGGAGGGGTAATTGTTTGTGTGCGTGTTTTTTTATTTGTGTGAAGGTTCGAAGTATTGACGATATGCTACAATGCGATTTGACGATTTTTAAGCAGAAACAATAATTATTTCTTATATAGTAAACGGAGAGAAATTGTTTAGACAAAGTTCGAGTGCGAATGGTCCTTTTCATTCTGGAAATCTAGGGGAAATATTTATTCTGTTATCGAACTGAAAAATCTTCGGAAAAATGATCAAAAATTCTGGTGAATATTGATATTTAAGATGGTATAGATTTGAGCCCTCAAACATCATGATTGATATGTAAATTCCGCAAAAGTGTCCGAAAGTCTAGTGACTCTCTGGATGAAAAGGTCTGTACTGGAAAAAATCGCAATCGACTGTCTATGGAAAATTCTAGCGCTGTTAAGGTAAAATTTCTAGAATTTTCTGGTAAAATCGCTGGGGATTTCAGTGAAAAATTCATTCAAGTTCGATAAAAATGGGCCCAATAAAATTTCCAGTGCCAGCACTGGAATTTTTCTCGGAGAGAAATGTTCAATAAAAATTACGGAACTCATAGTTCGCTCACCGATTACGGAATTGAATTTTTCACAGGAGATTCAGGTCGAAATTACGGAACGCTCTGGAAAAATTCCATGATTTTAGGTAAAAATTACGTGACAGTTCCGTAAAATTTCGCGAACATTTCGCTCTGGAATTATGGAAAAGATACGTAATTTTTATTGAATATAATATTTCTCTCCGTGTGCCAGCACTACAATTTTCCTAGAGAATTTCTCTCCATGCAATGATCTTAGTGTTATGTTGATGGCGATGGGAGTGTCTTCACATGTGTCTTGTGTTGCCGAAGCCGCCGTGGCCAGACTGGCTGGCACCCTTGTTGTAACCCATCTGGAGGTTCAGTTCTCCTTCATGAGCCCTCAGTTGCTCCTCAGTGAAGTTCCTCTCGTTCTTGTCCGCCATCTTGGGGCCCAGGCGGGGTCCTGTGTATTCAGGATGCTTCTGTGTCTGCAATGATTAGATACGAATATTGATAATAAACAAAAATTTCAACGGGGGATGATTTTCCGCGACGATGGGGATTTTGACTCGTGGGGAGTTGACAGGACTGACCAACGTGACGAGTAAAAAACCCCATCGCAATAGTCCGGGTCAAGATTTTTCCGAAATGCTCTCCACTTTTTCTCGTCCGGGGATAGACCCTTTCATCCTGGAAATCTAGCCGCAATATTTATTTCATTCGTCAAACTAAAAAATCTCCGGAAAAATAATGAAAAATTCTAATAAATATTTCCATTTAAGATGAGAGATCTGTGAGTCCTCAAAAATGATGATTTATATGTAAATTCGGTCGAAGTTTCCGAAACTCCTAGGGGAATTAACGTGGGTAGAAAGTATCCGAAAATCCAGTGACTCAGGATGAAAAAACTGGTGAAAGGTAAAATCACTGCGGAAACATATCGTTCACGACTAGTCATATGGATTTTTTTTATTCGTGTGGTTGACTAGTCATTACTTGCCAACTCCCGGCGAGTAAAAATCCCTATGGCGCTGACACTGAATATACTATTTTTGTGGGAATTTTCAGGAGTGACTTTGAATGCGAATTAAGGGGAAAAAGTCATGAGGTTTCAGATTTCACTGAAAATTCGATGAAATTCCAATTTCTTGCCGGCATTAAGAGGAAACAATACCCCCGAGTATAAAAAATAAATTGCAGTTTCCGGATACAAAGATAAAAAATAACAGATTTAATTACCACCGGAAACTGTAATGGAAAAAGTTCCTCAGCTCTTTTGAACATTTGATAAAAACATTAATATTCGCCTTCAGCTCGGAAGCCAACTCCCCGCGAGTAAAAATCCCTATGGCACTCGTCCCGAATTATAATATTTTTATGGGAATTTTTAGGAGTGACATTGAATGCAATTTAAGGGGAAAAAGTCATGAAGTTTCAAATTTCACTGAAACAATATCCCCGGATATAAAATATAAATTGCAGTTTCCGGGTATAAAGGTAAAAAATATCAGATTTAATNATATTCGCCTTCAGCTCGGACGCCAACTCCCCGCGAGTAAAAATCCCTATGGCACTCGTCCCGAATTATAATATTTTTATGGGAATTTTTAGGAGTGACATTGAATGCAATTTAAGGGGAAAAAGTCATGAAGTTTCAAATTTCACTGAAACAATATCCCCGGATATAAAATATAAATTGCAGTTTCCGGGTATAAAGGTAAAAAATATCAGATTTAATACCACCGGAAACTGTAATGGAAAAAGTTCGTCAGCTCTTTTGAACATTTGATAAAAACATTAATATTCGCCTTCGGCTCGGACGCCAACTCCCCGCGAGTAAAAATCCCTATGGCACTCTTCCTGAATTATAATATTTTTATGGAAATTTGTAGGAGTGACATTGAATGCGATTTAAGGAGAAAAAGTCATGAAGTTTCAGATTTCACTGAAACAATATCCCCGGATATAAAATATAAGTTGCAGTTTCCGGGTATAAAGATAAAAAATAACCGATTTAATACCACCGGAAACTGTAATGGAAAAAGTTCTTCAGCTCTTTTGAACTTTCAATAAAAACATGAATATTCAGTGCCAAATTACACGGGATTTTTAAATTCGTGGGGATTTTCAAGTTTCTGAGTTTGGAAGTATTTGATACCAATTCCCATGCGAGAAATCGTGAGAAGCAGTGTAGGAGAATTATTTCTGATGCACTTACGATTCTGCCGAGAGCGTAGAGGCACAAGGTCACTTGAGGGATGTTGCGTCTCTCGAAAAGGTCAGCAGTTTGGAAAATTTCCTCCTGGGGGACTCCGTAGGCCTTGATGGCAGCTTGGAACCTAGAACAGCCCGAGAAGGTTTAAATGTTTTAATCAATGGGGAATTTATAATGGATAATCATGCAATTGTCTCGATAAAGAGAAATATATCAGAAGATGTTTCTTGTAGCTGAGGAAATTTAAAGAAAAAAACTGACAGCTAGTCTCAGAATTTTTTATTAAATTTTGAAAATCAGGAATTTCACCTCTGGACGTTTTCCATAAGTTGGAAATTAGTTCCTTTCGTCTGGATTTTCTTCACTGATCCAGGGGCAATTTTATTGATGACATTACACAGAACAACTCCATCCCTCAGGATGTCTTCATATTCGCCCTTGGGTAATTTTTCTCCCAATACTGCCTCGATCCAGGTGAGGACCTCACTTTCCTGTTCCTTATTACGTGGCTGTAAAAAATGGATCACAATTTGAATTTTATGTCCTGAAGATTGACCAGTAATTACAAATTAAAAATCACAAATGATTTGTGGTGTCAATAATTGTGATTTTTCAATTAAAATTGAATTTCAATTTTTTTAAATAATCAATTCTTCGTTCCTGGATTTTGCTTTATGATTGATTTTCATGAATTTCATATATTTGAATTTCCTTTATGCCTTTTTTATCTCGAATAGCATAAAATCGTTTTTTTTTTATTGTTTTGACATGGACACGTCTTAGGCTTGATAAGCTGTTGGTAAAAAATTGTAATTTCATGGAGTCGACTAGTAATTCTCAAGAGAGTGACATTGAATGCAAAAATTGAAGGAAATTGCAAATTTTTTAGCAGCTACAAGACGAGAATTCCTCAATTTATGTGATTTTTCGATGAAAACGGAAATATTTAGCATAAAATTACTTTGAATTTCCAATTAATTGAAAATTTAAGAATATTTATTAATAATATCTTTCCTAATAGAATAATTTAACTGAAATTCACAGTTCTCATTGATTTTTCCGTGAAATTGTGAATTTTCAATGACGAAATTCCTTGAAATTTCATAGTTCCACTTCATTTTATAGTTCATGGTATAATAAATGTGATAAAAACATTGAACAGTGTATCTAGAAATTAGGAGGAAACTCTCGTGTATTTTTTTTTAATCCTTCGGTTGTCCAAAAAAATTTCACAAAAACTTTTCGAAGAAGATTCGTGACCAGAAAAAGATAAATCTTTCCTCATTTGAATTCAGAAAATGAAACTCTGCATAAATAAACGAGATCAGTAAAAAAAGACTCGAAAAAGGGGTACAAAAGCGAAAAAAATTATGATGATATTTAGTCTCGCGGCACCTCATCTCGAAATACTTTCATAAATCGAAGACGTATAAATATATCAAGGTTCTCGTGCAGCTGTTATCGAGGGCTCACGATACAACTTAAACTCGCTCTAAATAAAAATCTCCATTAAACTGTCAGATAATAATTAATCCCTAGCACTTCTCGACTCCTATTTTTTCACCAACATCCCTCGATAATCTAGAACGGCTACAAAACAATGACGCAAACCCCCGAAGCGTCACGATAAAATCTATTATTTATAGAGATGACCGGACATCAAATATTTATGATATTCTTGATCGCGGATTTACAGCTTGTCCATTGGCAAAAATTGGGTTGGCAAAATACTCAAACTGTCTTATTTTCGGACAGTTGACGCTCACAATGAAGCGTGTCTGCCAATAGTTGAGCGAAACAAATTTGAGGCAATTATGTCGCGATGAAATTGTCGTAAATCTCGAAACAGACGGAAAAATAAAATTTTCTTAACAATGTCACGTGACAGTGCTGAATTTTTTTGTGAAGACCGGATTATTTTCGAAAGACCTCAAGAACATTCTTTTTCTCACTTAAATTCTGCTTTTTTCCAACAGTAAAGGAGTTGAAAGGAAACATTTATCTCAGAATAATTCGGAGGAAAAATCTCGGAAGATTTTATTTTGCAGAACTCTCTGGAGTCTTACGCGGGTTTATTTCAGAATTATTTTCAGCGTCTGAGCAAGTACAACTGAGAAGGCATGGAGTTGGATGGTGGGCAGATGGCTGTGTAATCTCTTTGCGTTATTGCACCGGAAATCTAATTTTATATCGTTAATTAACCTCGATATGAATCATAACTATCAAAAAAAATAATTAATACTGCCGGGGAAGCCTTGAAATTTTATGAACAGTCGACTAGTAATTTTTGGGAGTGACATTGAGTACAATTTGAGGAGAAAAAGTGATGAAGTTTTCGATTTCACGGAGCATTCACTGAATTTATGATAAAAACATGAATATTCAGGGTTATTACACTGAATTTTTCATTAATTGAAAGTTTAAGAATGTATTTACGGAAATTTTCCTGCTTTCTATTCATTTTTTTTCTATTTTTTCTATTAATCTCTGGATGACGGAATTTTCTGAAATGTCAATGGACCTAAAACGTGATAAAAATTTCCAAAAATGTCTATAATTTCACACAAATATTTTTTCCAGAGAAATTAGCAAAAAAATCGCTGATTTAATTCTAATTTTTTTTTGGAAGAGCATATGCACTTGTTTTCAATGAAATCGAACTGTTGAATTCATAGAAACGAAAATGGGAATTATGTGGGAACGTAATTATGGTCTGTTTGAGCGCATGAATGAATACGTACCGCCATGTTTCGTCGACTGATTTATTAAACTATTACAAAATATGGGATGATTGTTGTATGGGGTAAACTCTGGTGATGTTTTGGACAGTGCCAAGAGTGTTGAGTGGAAACTAAGTCAAATGCCGGGCGTCGCGACGCTATATTACCGGCATCCCCACCCGAATATCCGTGGACGCACCTTGGCAATCTTCCCAGTGGGTATTCCCACACCCCCGCCCATTCTCGATTCCTTTTTTTCGGGATATGTCATTTCTAATTTGTCATCTTTATGCTTTCCGGGGTCTCATGATCGCGAAGCCAGAGGCTGCGGGGTGTGTCATTGAAATGTCTGGGAAATTTCGGGGTTAATTGAAGTAAAAATGAGCCATTTTGCCCCGGTAGTTTCCAACATTTTGTTGTTGATACAGTTTTCGATTCGGTTTTGTACGTCTCGATGCTGTATTTTAAATTATGTATTTGTGATTCGTTTTTTTGAGTTTTTTTCTGTCGATTATGTGTTTTTTTTTTCATTTATTCATACATGGGAAAATGTTAAAGAAAAATTTTGCAATTTTCTAAACCCTTTGTCTCAGGAATTCTATTGAATTTTAGCTTTTTTAATTGAAAGTCGATTTTAATTCGCGAAACGTAACACAATTTCAATGGAATTGAAAAAAAACAATTTTGAAAAAAAAACAATTGGTTTTTCTGCACAATTTATATTGTAAAGTCAAGTTTTTCAGGATAATAAGTTTTTTTATGCAGTAATGCATGAAAAATTTTATAGAAAAACTCTGTAACCTCCTGAACCCATTCACTAAAACATTTTATTTAATCGGATTTTCATTAGAATTTTTCAAATTGCTATTCTAATGAAATTCACAAAAAGTTGAATAATTTCAAGGGTGTTCCAATACAAAAAAATTATTAGGCAACTGTTCGTGAATTCCAGGTCCAATATTCAATAAAAAAGAATGGATAGTGCTAATTTTTCCATGCAATTCATTATGTTGAAATTTTTTCTATAAGAATTCTCGGGCATTAATTTTTTAAGCTGTTTCTTGAATTTTCTGATGAGAAATAAAAAAAAAATTCAGTTGAAAAAAACTCAGAAAATTGAAATTGGTTCATCAAAACTCGAAGTCTTCATATGATTTTTCAAAAAATTCATAACAATAAAAATCTCAGAATAATCAAGAGTGTCTTGAAGTATTTCGAGAATGGCAATTCCAATTCATGCCCAAAAATTACTGAAAACAAATCTAGCGAGAATAATTCACAGAGTAAAATCAAAGTTTATCGTTTTTTTCAGTTAAAATGTCTTACTTTATTAAAAGGATTTAATAAAAATGTTTAATCATGAAATATTTGTATTTCGTATTTACAGCTGTCAATTCAGTAAATTACCCTACTGTTATTTTAAAAATTATCTTCATGGATTAAACAGCAATAGGAAGGGGAACCGAGGGTTGATGTAATTCAGCGTCAGAGCGGCATTAGTTAGATATATTAATAACCGCAATGGTTCCGACATTCGGAAATTACCGAGTGAAGGTCAAGGAACGATAATGACACTGATATTTCATGAATATTAACGTAAACAACTTGCGATGTTTGTAAATAATGGTGTATTTCGCGTAAAATTAATGTCAACAATGTCAGGGATCGTAATTTTTGGACTTACGCCACTGGCGGAGGAGGGGCTGAGGCAAACGACAAGTTTAGATTCTCGTCAATCGACGCTCGTGTCGGGTTCATATCGTCTTGCTCTCTTTTCCTCATTTTATGCTACGTTTAGCGAGAGACAAATTGTATTTAATGGGAAAATAATGAATATCTCGAGGATTGATTTGTGGTCGAGTCAATATTTTAAAATATAAATCTTCTTTTTTGAGAAATCACACCTGCAAGATTGTAATGGTTTCTTCATTATTAATTCTGAGGACTTAATTTTTTCTTAAAATTTAGGGAAATTTTATTTCTTCATTATTTTTTAATATCTTGATTGTTGAAAGTTTTGAACATTACATTTTTCCTCCAACATTGGCATATTTTTACACAGTTTTCGCTTGATATCTGAATTAATTTTATAAACCGAATATTTCTCATTCCAAATAAAAATTATTTATGCAGGAAATGTTAAATACGTGAAGTCTTGTTCCAGTGAGGATATTCTGACAAAATTTCTACTCAATGAAGGAATAGAGAATTCAATGAGAATCCAACATGAAATGAAAACCTGATGAATGTTTCAATCGGTAACATCATTATGAATGATCAAATTCTCAACAGTAAATACAAATTATTTACACAAAACATGAAAATTCTAATTAATGTATTAACTGAAGTGTTTTTCTGATTATCAGTGAGGATATTCTCTCGAAATTTCTATTTAATGAAGAATTGATGGAAATGTAGACGAATATTCATCCGCATTCTCTTCCAATTCAATTAGAACTGAATGATAAAAAAAACAATGAAATAGTTAAATTGGTAATATTGTTGTCAATTATTGAATTCTCAATATCCCAATTTTTCCTGAAATTGTTGTCAAATTCTGTGATTGCAGTATTTTTAATCTCTCTACTGCTGAAATATGGAAAACTTCCTTTTGCTCTCGACCATTGTATAGTTTTATGCAATTTTTAATTGATTCTAAATCACTTGCTCAAATCGGAATCCTTTCCTTCTAAATGAAAATTTTCTGGATAATCTTCATTAAATTAATTTTTTCTCTTCCCCTGATGATGTCTAAAAAAATCCTATTCATCCATTATAAACACATTCCTCAATTTGAGGAAAACAAAAAAAAACTTTAAAAAAAGTTGATTCAAAACTTGAAGTTTCGAATAAACTTGAAAGGTCGAGCGCTTTTTTATTTAATTACATGTATGTCTTTTCAATCTTTAAAAAAGAATAAATAATCTATGACCAATTAAATTTCCACCTGAAAATCATTTGCTCGGAAATGTTCATATTCAGAATTTTACCAGAAGTCGACTTGGACAATTTCAATGATCTATTTATAAACAACGAATGTCGAAAAAATAATAATTAGTCTCTGCAAAATATAATATGAATGAAGCTGAATGTTCATGATTTTTCTTCAGATTCTTCTCACGCACTTTAGTCATCAGTTGTCAATTGAAGTGCTGTAAAAGGTATAATTTCCTTTTGCTCTCGACTACTGCATAGTTTCATGCAATTTTCAATTGATTCTGAATCAATTCCTCAAATTGGAATCCTTTCCTTCTAAATAAAAATTTTCTGGATAAATAATCTTAATTAAATTATTTTTTTCTCTTCCCCTGATGATATCTAAACAACTCCTATTCAGTAAAACAAAGGATGAAATTCGGAGAAATATTCATTAGCATCTCCTTTGAAAGAGGAATTTTCTCTGTAAGAATAATAACGTCACGCAGCTTCAATGCACTGCTCTACCCCCGCAAAAATTCAAATCGTAGTGCCTCGCCTACTCGCCAGGCGTCCTACGTTCGATAATCTTTCTGCTACTCCAGAACCACTCAGGAGTTGATAGAAAGCCCACGGCGAGAATATGACCTTAGCTTTGCGCAGTGGCGATATCGTAACCAATGAGGTTCTACCGAGGTGCGATTATTGCTAGTTGAAAACTTTTACCAATACCCCGCCAAGACGATGTGAAATACCATCGGCTACGGCAATTTTTGAAAGTTTCTGCGGAAACTGATTAATTATTTGAAAAATAAAATTTCCTTGACTGAAGTCCCTCGAGTGAGATGGCCTATTGTGAGAGATCTACTTTGTATTTTTCTTGCGATAAATTCCGTTAAATTATTATTATTATTATTATTATTGTTATTATTAAAATTCTTGAAATACAATTTCCAGTTTAATTCATTCTATTTGAATTGCATCAAAACTCTTTTTGATATCATCGTAAGAATTGGAATATTTCGATTTAGAATAGTTAATGAGAATGAATGAATTGCTGTGGATAATAATTCATTCATTTCAAATTACTTAAATAACAATTGTGAAATCTCTATTTGAATTTTCGAACAATTCCTGCATATAAGGATTTTTTAATGATTAAGAATACCTTGAAACATTTTTGGATAATTGCAATGTCAAGAATAAGAAATCCATTCTCGAATTTATAAATTAATTGAGAAAGAAAGTTTCAGGCAAAATTTCTCCAATTTTAATGCCTTTCATCGTATTTCATTTGATATTATTTCTGAATTCAGATTATTATTCATTAAAATGCTTCATGAAATCCAATGGAACCTTTATGGAAATTGAAATTTCGTAATTATCATTCTTCATTCGTGTTTTGTAATCAATAAAAATAAATTAATTGCTCTGAAAAATCTACTGAAAATTTCAGGGAAATTGAAATCTCTCAATAATAACTTCCATTCGTGTCAAAGGATTGAAATAATTAAATTTCTTTTAATAATCCACTAAAATTTACTCATTATAATTTTAGAAATATCAGTAGCGAAGTGGTAAAATGGTTTGACTTATCTCCCAGTTGAGTCTTTGAAGAATATTTCTGAATCTAAGGGAGATAGCGAGATTTTTGTTACAACCTTTTTTGTAGAGCCGATTGAGAGCTACAACAAATGCAGTTACGAAAATTTCACTATCTCCCTTAGATTCGGAAATATTCCTCAAAAACCCAACTCGGAGATGAGTCAACTTAAACCGGTTTACCACTTCGCTACTGATATAATTCACGCTATAATTTCTGTAAAACAATCATACAAATTAAAAAATTCTAAATAATGACTCTTCATCACTCCCTCGAACAGCAGAACTGCAATGTTATTTTTTGAGAATGAATCCATTCTCAAAAAAACATCAGGAAATCTCCCAACCACCCAAAATAATGTTTCTCTCTCAACCAACGCCTAACCCACCTACGTCAAACCACCCACATTTATTTCCATCAATCCCCCACATCTGCACCAAGAAACAAATACCCGAGCTACGCAGAATACCCAGTCTTGCACAATTCTCCTCAATGAAATCGAATTTTCCTATTTTCCAGTGCGCCGGAAAACGCGAGCCAGAAAAAGATGCCGAGGCTCAGGCGTGGATCGAGTACATCGTAGGCGAGAGGTTCCCCGCGGGTAAGTCATTACATTATATCCTCATATGGGGCAAAATGGGTCTTGTCAAAACAACCAAAACAGAAAAAAACAAAAAATAAAAATGAAAAAACATTTTATAACTTGAATAAAACACAAACAAAATAGTTTACTCGAATACGGGGTAAAGCGGGTCACTAGAATGACCAGTAATTTTTTTTTTGACATTGAAAGAAAATATATTAATTGTCTTGAGGATATCCAAGCACTTTGGCTATTTTTTCTCCAGTGAAATGGTTTTCTACTTTTGTAGGCGAACATCAGAGCTTTCCTTTGAGTCCCATTTGACCCCACGTTTCCGGATTTTTACCACGATTTTATTATTTAAACTTTACAGACCTGAATTTCAATCTCGATATTGGACCGAAAACATTCTAGAAAACATTTAAAAATCTAAAAAAAAATTAGCAAGTTTATTTTTGGAGGGAAATTGATGAAATAATTGAAAAATTTCCATTTTTGAATATCACGAACATTATCTATAAATAATCTATTCAAATTAGGTTTATCAACCATTATAAATACATTCCTCAATGTGAGGAAAAGAAAAAATAACTTTAATAAAAAGTTTATTCAAAACTAAAAGTTTTGAATAAACTTGAAAGGTCGAGCACTTCAATTGTTCCATTTCATGTACGTCTTTTCAATCTTTAAAAAAGAATAAATAATCTATGACCAATTAAATTTCCACCTGAGAATCATTTGCTCTGAAATGTTCATATTGAGAATTTTACCAGAAGTCGATTTAGACAATTTCTGTGATTTATTTATAAACAACGAATGTCGAAAAATAATAATTAGTCTCTGCAAAATATAATATGAATGACGCTGAATGTTCATGATTTTTCTTCAAATTCTTCTCACGCACTTTACTCGTCAAATTTGTCAATTGAAGTGCTGTAAAAGGTATTTGGACATCCTCAATTGTCTTCGAACGGGAAAAATTACTATCGACGAGAAACAACGAATGCTCCATATTGCCCCGTCGTTAATAACCATCCAAATCTTCTCTAAACACGAACTGTCGGAGTCATCAGGGAATTATAATACCAAAGCGATGTTCCCCCGTGTCACCTCTATCGTATCGATTATTCGAGGGGTGAAACCCGACTCCAGTGATTCATCAACACCCCCGACCGCCCCCACAACCTCCTGCTGCCCTATTACTTGGGGGTGGAAAAATCGCTGCAAGCCCTTACAAAATCATTGATTAGGAGTCATCGACGATGCACAGTTACCAATGAGACCAGGAAAACAATTCGCCCCTTATCATCGTCTCCAACCCTCAATAGCACAACCCCTTGGAGCTCATGAATTCCTGGTAGCTAGAGGTGGCGAGGGTCTGCAAGCCCTTTAAAAAAATATCAAAACTACAGAGCGATGATAATGGGTGGCGATATGCGAGCCGGATAGAAATGTCGAGGTGCGTGACGTCGGGAAGGTTAAATTCAATGCGTAGGGTCAGTATTTCTGCGCAACTCGGGCCTAGGACAAAAATTCACCGAGTTTGCTCTGTTTCCTTGATTGGGGTAGACTCGGGGGCCCGGTGGAGGGTGGCTAGAGCCTCCTGGGATTGTCTACTATCCTGACACTGCGCGCGCTTTGTTACGTCATGATCTGAGAGTGGAAATTTTATCTCAAAGAACTTTGGGGAATTTAGAAATCGAGGGTTTCGTATGTACAAGGAAATGACCCATTAAAATCAAATATAATTTATTTAACTCAAATAAATCTTACGTTTTGCTACTTTATAATCTGATAGTGGAAATTTTATCTCAAGGAAGTTTGAGGAATTTAGAAATCGAGGGTTTCGTATGTCCAAGGAAATGACCCATTTACGATCTGAATAAAATTTGTTATTTGAAAATTAATAACCTTATATGTTGATTTCAATGAAAATATTTTCATTATATGAAATGAATAATTGATTTTTTTATTGATAAATTGATTAATTGAATGCAAAATAAAATCTAAAAAATTAAGTAAATTGAGTGTATTACAATCAAATATAATTTATTTAATTGAAATAAATCTTACACAAATCTTACGCTTTGCTACATTATGATCTGAGAGTGGAAATTTTATCTCAAAGAACTCTGGGAAATTTAGGAATCGAGGAATTCGTATGTCCGGGGAAATGAAGGAATCTAACGAATTAACTAAAACTTTTTATTGGAAACTTTTCTATTCATTACAATAATATATTTGAAAATTAATAAACTTATTTGTTGATTTCAATGAAAATATTCTCATTATATGAAATGAGTAATTAATTTTTTTAATTGATAAATTGATTAATTGAATGCAAAATAAAATCTAAAAAAATTAAGTAAATTGAGTTCATTAAAATCAAATATAATTTATTTAATTCAAATAAATCTTACACTAAAAATTTTAATTTCCAAGAATTCATGAATGAGATTCGACATTTGTCCAGTCTAAAATATTAAGCGGAGCCACAAGTTTCCTAATACAATTGAAGCCGAACTCTGAAAAAAAAACATTTTTTCTCAAAGCAATTCCCAAATTTTTGAATTCTCAACATCGCCCCATTCTTCACCATGCCACCATCGATCCATCATCCTCCACCGCCGAATGCCACCCTGATGTCCCGGAGGATACCGTGGAGGTGGCCAAAGCACCGAACGAGCCCCCACTCCTCCCCACCCCCTCCACACTCATCTCCCCCGCCGCCAGCCGCCCCCCAAAATCAATTGACCCTACCCCCGACCCCCTCGAGTCCTCCGCAACCCCCCGACAGCCTCCGCAGGCCCTCAAACCCCCACCCCACCGTCTCGGAAGGAATAATTCATGAGAAACTGAACTGCCGCAAAAAGTGACTCTCCTCGCCTATCGATTATCCGTCACCCGTACATCATGTTACGTCGCAGGGACGCTAGTGTATCAGGGGTACATGGTTTACCGCCTAGTTCCTCACCAGTGACACACATACACACACTCTCTCGCTGCCTTCCCTGACAAGAAATGATAAAGACGGGCGAGAGCGAGCGCTTGATTGAACAATTACTCGGGGAAAGCCTGGGAAATGGACACGTCTGTCAGACACTCAAACCCAAACGTCAGTCATCCGTCCGTCACGACGGCGCAAGGCGCCCTGACGCACCAGGGTATCAGCAGACGTTTGAGGGATTTATAGGGTCTCTCCCGCACCCCCGACGTCGACGTTGACGTCAGTGTAATTCAACCGCCTGATATCGATCTCAAAAGCCCCGCGTAATGTTGCAATGCCCGTTGAGAATGAAATTTCACTGTCGTCTGCAGCTGCTGGGGCGAATGTCGATCAGGTTTGATGGATGGGGAACGGTTCGGGGCTTCAAGATGCCAAATGCCTGTCATGGAGTCGTCAATGACGTCACTTTGAGACGGGCTTACCAGGGTTACAGCCCCGGGGGAAAATTTACGAGCTTGCGCGCAACATATCACGGTAGCCCGCGCGTTTCGTGGCGGTTTGGCTCGATGGTGAGTGTGAGGGGTAGGGATTGCTTTTTGGGGCCAGGGGGAAGAGGGGATTTGGAGGAATGATGTCGTTATTGTATAATGCTTTGTTTTAATCATCAACTACAATGAAGGAATTATTTGCATTTCTGGAAATATAGTGAAATTCACTGGTGAAATTTCACTATATTTCCATTAAATAATTAAGTTTATTAATTTTTTGCTGAAATTTCCAGTGTACTTCTTGGAAATTTTTATCAAGTGACAGTTCTGATGATATTTCGAGGACTGTTGTCATCGAAAATCAATAATTTTATGAAAAAATTAATGGAAAATGTAAATTTTAATTCAATTATTTCTCAAAAATTGAGAGGAATCGCGAAAATTCCCGTAAATATCCGAATTGATTATCTATATTGACTCCCTTCGATTAATGAGGCTGCACTGTTGGAAATTTTTGACCGACTCTTTAGTTCCACTGATTTTTCAAAGAATTTCGTCACTGAGAATTCAGAATTTCACGGAAAAATCAATGAGAACTAAATTTCAGTTCAATTATCCTCAGAAAATTTGTAGAAATTAGGAAAATACCATTAAACAAATTCTTTAATTCCAAATTAACTGAAAATGGCCATCTCAATGCCGTCAAAAAATTTGTAACTTCATTGAATTTTCAATGGAGTCTGAAATTTCATGATGTTTTCCCTTCAAATCGCCTTCAACGTCCCTCTCTATTCAATTATTTCTCAAAAATTGAAAGGAATCGCGAAAATTGGAGTAAACACCCGAATTGATTATTTATATCAATTTCCTTCGATTAAGGAAGTTGCACTGTTGGAAATTTTTGGTTGACTCTTTAGTTTCACTGAAATTTCACGGAATTTCGTCATTGAGAATTCAAACTTTCACGGAAAAATCAATGAGAACTAAATTTCAGTTCAATTATCCTCAGAAAATTCGTAAAAATCAGGAAAATACCATTAAACATGTGCTTTAATTCCAAATAGATTGAAAATTATCATCTCAATGCCGTCCAACAATTTCAAATTTCATTAAATTCTCAGTGAAACTGAAATTCCATGATTTTTCCCTCCGAATCGCATTTAACCTCGTTCCTAAAAATTACTAGTCGACTATTACCACTCGTCCCTGAAATTTCAATTCCTCTGTAACCGCATGAGCATCGTAATTTTACCGCAACGTACACCCGAATTATCGAGATATACCCAGAGACTGCGGTTGGCTGTCGGAGAGACCTGTTGCACAGTGGAGGTAAAGCCGTAAATTCGTCCGCAGGATGTTGTCCTGATGAGAACCGTGTCTTTGACGTCTTTATGACATGAGTCTGACATTTAATCGATGAGGTAGTGGAAAGGGCACATGCGCGTCAGCCACGTCGCGGCATTTGGCCATCACTCCCATCGATTTCCACGGACATTCCTCAAAATTAATCAAGAACACTCATTGACCTTCTCCCCTCTTCTCCATCCCCACATCTGTTTTGCCCCCTCATCTGCCAACTGATT